CTGAATGGGGTGGTCTGATGTGCTGTATAGCATTTCCACTTGCTTCATCGAGGAGTCTGGTACGATATTCGAGCGACTGGCGCCCTCTGACTTGCAAGACGACGCTTCAGAAGCGGTTGCACTTGTTGGGCGAGTGCTGACTCTACAACCTTGAAGGGCTTTGATCTCGTAATCACATTAGCAATCATCATGTTGGAGAATTGTGCAACAAAGACGCGATTTGCTTACCGTCTCCATTCGTACAAGGTGTCTTCAGGTAGATGCAGCAACCACATCGTCCATTCTGTTCAGATGGGATGTGAACGCAGAGTGTAAATGGCCCATTGCCCAGTGCGCATGAATCGCACGCCTTTTGGGCAACATCACCTCTCGACTGAATGATTGCTGAGAGCTTGGAAACCGGGTTGTCCAGATCGACCGTGGCTAAGTAGTTGTTGTCCCGGAACTCTAGATCTCTCTTCTGAGCATGCTTCCCACGGAGAATTTTCACTGGCTTGCTTTTGCAGAGTTTCAGTATGCTCTCAATGTGGGCTGAGTGCTTCCTGGCATCGGTAGGCAAATTTGCCCACCTCTTTCTCCCCATCGTGCTTCGGCGACGGGAAGTACCAGTGCCGAATATTTAATTAGTGCTTTCATCGAAGTTACGTTGAGTCTTTGAGATCGGGCGCGAAAAGTACACGATCGAGTTGCCGAGAAAAACGCTCGCTAATCTGTCGTAGTCTTAAGACCAGCCTTCGACGTGTAGGTCACGGCGATGAGATAATAACTACCTTACGCGAGGGCGACGGCGAAGAGGCTATCTTTAATATATACAGTGTTAAGGTCCGCTCCGTTATGGCACTACAGCAGGGGAACACCCCTGATAATCTTCCGTAGTATAACGGTCAGTATACGAGCTTGTCACGCTCGGGATCCGGGTTCGACCCCCGGCGGGAGAGTAAATTTTCTGGGGATGCTTTTTTTTTTTGGGCCGTGTTTTTGGTCATCAGTGGAATCGCTGCCCAAGAATTCGTTTATACACTCTCTACCTTAGTAGGTCAAATCTTGAGGTGGGCTTCCATTTTTCTCCCGCTTAGAGTTCCCATTACACATATATCTACCTATATGGTAGCCCTGACTCTCTATTGAGGTGTACCCAAAGTCATATAGCGAATCTTCAAAATCTGCACATATACGACTATAACCTAGAAAGAGGCGAATCTACTCTAGCAGACAAGAGAGCGACACCGTAGCGAGAGCCCCAGCCGCGCACGTATTAGATATGCTAAATTGATTAAAATGCCGACCTATGATACCTAGCGCTTACACTGCTTCCCTCCAGTCATTCAATGTGGTGCTACCTGTCATTGTAACCATTGCCGCCTGCGCCAGCTTGATTACTGCCGCAAAGGCAACATAAAAACTCCAGAGACAGACAACTCAATCACGCCACTAACATACGAATAGAAAGACCCCCAAATCCTCACTATGCAGAGGAGCGCAGAGGAGCGTAGGGAAGGGGAGACTTATGGGTTAAATAATCGCTGTTCATCTACCACTGAGAGCTATGCACTTACGTGTGGCCGGCCGGCCGGCTGTGTGCGTCCCCGGCATAGCAGGAAGGAGTGGGAAAAAACTTGAACTTACCTAGGTACCTACGACCTACCAAGGCAGCCTGCCACTCAAGAGAAACAAAAGATGCTTATCGATAACAAAAATCGCCCCACATTTTCACTATCCCACGCAGGAAATCTCGAAAACTTCCAGCACTTCACCGTCCTTATCGGGCCAATTTTCACAAGACGACTACATATCTTATGCCACAACATTTTTTCTGCCCTGAGCGATACGTTAACAATACAGACACCTCATCATTATTATAACAGAAGTGCACCAAGGCATATATACGCAAAATGCCTGCGCCGACGGCCCTCAAGACGGCGGCAGACGAGTCCGCCCCGCCAGCCGACATTCCTATCCTCGCAGAGAATAATGAAGACGAGCTCATCCTCGACGCTCCCGAGCTAGCCGTACGCGAACCCCTGACCGACGCACCGGTAGACACAGAGATGGTGGTGGACGAGGAGGGCCGACCAAAGTTTGCGCCCGCACAGGACGCTGAGACGATCACGCGGATAGAAACGCGCAAGGTGCCCATCCCACCGCACCGCATGACGCCCCTCAAGGGCAGCTGGCCCAAGGTGTACGGGCCCCTGGTCGAGCACCTCAAGCTGCAGGTGCGGATGAACCTCAAGAACAAGACGGTCGAGCTGCGCAACTCGAAGCACACCACCGACCCGGAAGCGCTGCAGAAGGGCGCCGACTTTGTGCGGGCGTTCGCGCTGGGCTTTGATGTCGACGATGCCGTTGCGCTGCTGCGGCTGGACAGCCTGTTCATCGAGACGTTTGAGATCAAGGACGTCAAGACTCTGACCGGAGACCATCTTGCTCGTGCCATCGGCCGTATAGCGGGCAAGGACGGCAAGACAAAGTTTGCGATTGAGAATGCCTCTCGCACACGGATAGTGCTTGCTGATTCCAAGGTGCATATTCTTGGTGCCTTTCAAGTAAGAGACACGCATTACAATCACTTCGAATATCCTTTTACTCACGTTTTGGTAGAATATCCACATAGCACGAGAGTCCATTGTGTCGCTGATCTTGGGTAAACCGCCTGGCAAGGTCTACAACGGTCTGCGCACAGTAAGCGCACGGATGAAGGAGAGATTTTAGATTGGGCTGTTGAGCATGCCGTACAAGGCACATAACATGCACACATGACATAGATGGCGACATGGCGTTGGTGGCGGGCTTGTTTATTCCAGCATCACACAAAAGTTTACTCGTGGAATCAATAATGATACCCATAAGGGGGTCAGCATTTCAAGCTTTTGATCATTTCAAAGTACCTAACTCCCGTCCCTGTGACTTGGGTATACCTCGCAAGAAATAACGGTCCTCATCGTTCAGGCCCAATTTCGTCCTTCCATTATACCCTAATAATTCATTTCGTGGAATCGTCAACTCGTGGCTACTTGACATAGACCTCCAGGGCATCCAGATCCTCTATATCTGCTTCTCCCATGGTAGTCTCCTCCTCCAAAGGGTCGCCATCAAACATGATGGTGATATGCTTATCCGAGCCGTAGTGATTTTTCGCCCTGACTGCAGCAATCAGGATCCGTACCTGAGTGTCCGCGTATGTGGTGAGCTTAAGGTCGTCCATCTCCTTGCCTTTGAGGATGACACGGATCTTTTCTTGTTGTGTGGCTTCCTGCGTGTCTTTGTCATCTCCTTGGTCCTCGATATCCTCGTCATCGATCTCCTCGCCCAATTCCTGACGGCGCTCTCTCTCCTTCTCAGCAAGAACGTCCCGTAGCTCATCTTCATGCCAGACTTCCAAGTGCAATTTTCCATTATCGAAGCCTTCATCAGGACCAGCGTAGGCACCAACCCGGCCTCTCTCATCTGGTCGCAGGTTAAGACTCAGACCTGTGGTCATGTTATAGATTTTAGCGAGTTTCCATGTCAAAATGATCTTTGCCTCTTCATCGGGAGACAGTCTCAAGCCGAATTTGCTTCGTGCGTTATTTAGCCAAGACTCCCTCACCAGACGCATGTTTTGACTCATTCTTCGGTGGATCAGTAGGGGTGTAATTTCCTCATTGCAAGACAAGCAAGAGGTGATCAAGATCTGTATGACAGGGTCGTGCACATCACGTTCAGCAACCGTGGAGTCGGCAGAGTTGTCAGCGCCCACTGAATCCGGTGTTTTGACGCGCCTCTCGGCTGCTGCTTTCATGGCGGCCTCGCGGGCTCGTGCACGCTGAATAAAAATGGCGAACTCATCCTCCTCTTCTTCTTCATCTCGGTCTACCACCACCAGATCATCGTCGTCGTCGTCGAGCGAGATTATAGCAGTTGAAGAAGCTGGCCGCAGAGGGCGAGGTTTTTGTGCGGACCTTGAGCGGGTCACGGGTATACCGTCGTCTGAATCGTCATCAAGTGATATGACCCCGTCTGGTGTGGTAGACGGCTTGGCGTCCGATTTGATAGGAGTAGGAAGGGCACCATTGGCGACAGGAGAGCTGGGGTCTTGACTCTCTAATCTTGATGGTCGAGGTGTTAGGCTGCCGTTATTGAAGACTGGTGATCCTGCTCGTATCCTAGCTGCAATGGGAGATTTCTCCCCCTTGCCCAGGCCAGAATGTGGTGCTTCATCCTCACTGTTATCATAGAGTTCGTCCCACTCGTCCACTACAACCGCAGGCGAGAGTTTCCGCCTCTTCGACGACTCCTCCCCTGGCGAACGACCCGTTGCTTCATATGTGAGATCTAGTGAAACTTTTCGATCTTCTTTCGGCGACGTGTGCTTATTGTAGCGCTCCTCTTGTTCTTCCACTGCGATCGGAAAGAAATCCTTCGACCGCCTGAACATGTCGAGATCGTCATCTTCGTCCTTGTCGCTCGAGTCTGCACGAGGCGCTGGCTTGGGAGCTGTACGCTTGAAAGGCAAGGCCTTCTTCTTCTTTGGGGCGACCTCCATTATGGCTAGTAATGTTTTTTGAGGGTTAATGTTTTGACTGATATGACGGCAATTGCGAAAAAATCGTAGGCGGGCGGAGAAGCGCCATCCAGTCCGTCGCACTCTATCGACCCTCGTCTCCTGTAACAGCTCTGAGCCTGGTGGCTTCCGCACGGCGAAAATGCAAGGACAGAGCAAAAAGAAAGTCGCAGGAAGGACAGATGCCGCGAGTGCGTGCTTATATAGCAACCGCGATCTGTTGTGCCGGAGATAAGGCTGAAGGCGCAAGAAGTGAAGTGCATATGGTGAGAGTTCCTTAACGCGTGGCTCAGATCTTCGAGAAAAGTTACCGCGTTCTGAGCACACTGGCAGACTGGTACTTGACTTAGGCCTGGCAAGGTGGGGTGTGGGGTTAGGGATGCTAACAGACTTGCCTTGCGAACAAAGAAGGGTTCTTGCCGTTTGCGGCCTCAAGTTACAGGCAGAATTTTGCCAGTTTGGCTTCTGAAAGAGCCCCCGCCCTCACTGCCAAAATGGCCGAGGCAGGTGTCCACTTTTACCCCGGCCTGCCCGCCGCAAGGAGCCAGCAAGCTTGCCGAGATGTGCTGGAAAGGAAGGAAGTTACCTGGGAGGATAGCCTGTAAGACGAAGCGGCTTACGCTCGACACCAACCTTGGAACTCCTGACAAGCAATGTACTTTCTCTACTACCTGAACAAATGGACCCTCTTCTATGATTTCTGCACCCATCTCTTCGTCGGCTCTCTCGTCTTCTTCCTGGTAACCGCTGTCGACGACGAGATTGTAAACAACCGACGTCATCTCCCCTTCCCTGTCTGGTCCTCCTTCCGCGACTTCCTACCCTGAGTTGAGTTGAGCCTCAACAACCACACTTCACAATGGCGCCCACAAGGCCTGAATTTCTGAGCAACGTCTGGAAGGACGGTATATTCGGTAAGAGCATGGCACAGAATCTGCTCCTTTCCATTGGGCTACCAAGCTAATCATATATCCATCATCTAGAGAACCGAGTGGCGTTTGTGACCGGAGGAGCTGGTTCGATCTGCAGCGCGCAAACCCGCGCACTCGTCTACCTTGGCGCAAATGCCTGTATCATTGGCCGAAACCCCGAAAAGACCGAGAAGGCTGCCAAGGAGATTGCGCAGGTCCGAAAAGGAGCAAAGGTCATCGGCATAGGGAACGTCGATGTGCGGAATGTATGAGCTGTCCGGCTGCAGCAGCTTAGAGTCTCGAGGGCTAACGACGTCAATCAACAGTTTGAGAGCCTAAAAGGTGCCGCGGATCGCTGTGTGGAAGAGCTAGGAGGCATTGACTTTGTCATGTTTGTACCTCCTCAATATCTGATTCTCGAAGGTGCATTGCTAACATTTACGGCCGCCAGTGCTGGTGCAGCAGGTAACTTTGTTGCGCCCCTTGCTGGCCTGTCACCTGGCGGCTTTAAGGCCGTGATTGACATCGACACCATTGGCACATTCAACACCATCAAGGCTACGATACCACACCTCGTCCAATCCGCATCCGACAACCCCAACCCTCCGCCGTTGGGACAGGTGGGAACCGGTGGGCGAATTCTTGCTGTGTCTGCGACCTTTCATTACACGGGATTACCGCTGCAGGCCCATGTGGCTGCGGCGAAGGCTGGAGTCGACAGCCTCATGGCGTCTGTAGCCCTGGAATACGGCCCATTCGGCGTTACATCAAACGTGATTGCACCCGGCGCGATCAAGGGGACAGAGGGCATGGAGCGGCTGGCGAGCAGCAGCGTATCGGAGAAAGAGCTTACGGAGGGTGTTCCGAGCGGTAGATGGGGCACTATTCGAGACATTGCGGATGCGACTGTCTGGCTCTTCAGCGATGCCGGCAACTATGTGAATGGGCACACCTTAGTTGTAGATGGAGGCTCTTGGCGGCGGCCTGGGTCCATGTCCGTTGGTCTTGATACTGGCATGAAGTATCCGGATTTTCTGATCTCTGGGCACTCAAAGAATGTCAAGGATGGACGCAAGACAACGAGCAAGCTGTAACATGTAATGGCGATGACTTTAGATATCTAAGCCAAGTGCCTCTCGTTTGGATTTCAAGTATGTATATTACGCATAAACTGGATAAGCTATCAAACGGCGAATGGATACCCCGTTCGAGACAACCTTGGAACCGTTATTAGGAAGGTTAGACGGGAACAACTAGGCGACGTGGAAGCGATGAGGTTGTACCTACTGTATGTAGTTATCATTAGTGATTACCTGATGTGATCGGGTGAGAAATGCGACTCACCCGGGTGTGGATCTGCTAAACGTTACCGTGCCATCTGATATGCAACAGAAGGGCGCCGGGGAGCCGAGTCCCCTGTCGCCCCGACGGTCAGCGGCGATTTCCATTGGGCGGTGGGCTGCAGGTGCCGTTGAGGTTCGGACATGCTGCCGCTAAGAGAAAAATTGGCTTGCGGTTGGCGGCGCCCCTGTGCCCTAGAGCATTGGGCTGCTGCTGGGCACTACCTCACCTCCAGGGCTGTTTCTCTGCTCTTATCGCGCCTCCGTGCGGGGGCTGTCAAGGTTCTCGGTCAACTTTGCTTATCTTTTCCATCAGAAAGAAGATCTCCGATCATCATTCGGTAACTCATTCACAGCATCATTGATGCTTGTCAAAGCCAATTGACAAGAGCATTTGACGCTCTGGTCATCTTGTGAAGCTCAATCCCATAGCCGAGCGAGCTGAGGTGATAGGGAAGATAGCCTGCTGGACATTCAGATGAGTGGACAGACCACTGGCGAGGCTGTCAGAGAGCTTCTAGAGCTTCGATTTGCACCCGACTACCTAGGTAACTGCGGGTGCTACCTACATGTACCCTCATTACTCACTTCTTTTGCGCAAGGGCCAATGGCAGCTCAGAAACGCCGAGACGGATGCAGCTGCAAGCAATTGAGTCTCTTCATGGTCTGAAGCATCCAGCTCCATCGGAGAAGATGACCACCCACCACTCACAGAGTTCCGCTATCGCTGGGTCTCCCCACCCAGCGGGCAGTCCAGAGTGGTCAATCGAGCTACTGGAAGGGTGCTAATGTCCAGTAGCCTTTTTCACGATCGGCCATCTATCCCATGCTGCTCTTTTAATGTAGACCAAGGGTGGGGGGGTTGTGAGGAAGCAAAGTGAAGAGCCCGCATCTCTAGCTCTGAATCCAATGACTGAGTGACTGACTGCTTCTCCTCGGCCGTTCCTTCCCTGCATTTCTCGGCCTAAGCAAAAATGTCAGGCAAAAGATAGGGAAGGAAGCAGACCAGTCATACTTTTCTTATCCGATCGATCGTTCATTCAGACTAATAAGACAAGGCAAGGCAGGTAAGACCGAGGGCTACTTTCTATTTTCGCTCTTCTCCTTCTTCTCCCCATCCATCCTTCTCTCCTTCCTCCCCATCTGTACATAGCAGTTGCTAGATACAGACACGGCTGGCGACGGAACCTGCAACTCGCTTGTCTCGTGCTTGTTGACAAAGGTAACTCGGCTTGAGTCGAGGTCCAGGTTGTCCCCAGACCTCCTCGCTTTGTTTACTTTCTGAAGAATAACACCATTATCACCACCACCCACAGCTTCAGTCAGCTCATCCATAGCCTTGGGACCAGCTTCTCCCGAGCTCTTCTAGAGTGCCGCTTGTTCTATTAACCAGCATCTGTACTCATACGCATACATACCCAACCACCACCAGCTGTTTATCAGTTCACACACATACAAGATGGAGCTCAAGCACCTCCTTGCTCTTCTGCCTCTTCTCAGCCCAGCTGCTGCGGAGACCGTCCTGGGCGCCTACATCTTCCACCGCCATGGAGATCGTACCACAAAGTCCTGGCCTCCTACCAGCTTGACTGCTCTCGGTGCTGACCAGGTCTACGTCTCCGGCAACTACTTCCGCAACCGTTGGATTTCTGCCAATGCTAGTCATCAGGTCAACACAATGGCCACCGACATTGCTGTGCTCTCTCAGATGAGCGTCACTGCCCCCATCGACAATGTCCTGCAGAACTCGGCTCAGGTGTTCCTGCAGGGTCTGTACCCTCCCGCCGGAGATGCTGCCGTTCAGACTCTTGCCAATGGTAGCGACACGGAGGCACCTCTTGGCGGATACCAATACATCCCCGTCAATGCCGTCAGCAACGCCGCCAGCAGCGGGTCTGCTGAGGACAATGAGTGGCTCCAGGCTGGTTCCGGCTGCGGCAAGGCTGTAGTGAGCAGCAATGACTACTTCAAGAGCACAGAGTATCTTGACACTCTGGATCGGACAACCGATTTCTACCAAAACCTCCTACCGGTCATTAACACGACCTTCTCGGCTGACAAGGCAAGCTTCAAGAACGGCTACACTAGTAAGTGCTCTCCACCATGTTTCACCAGTTGTCGAGAGCCACTAGCTCTGCCTGTGAGATATAAATCTAACATATCGCAGTCTTCGACTATGTCCACGTCTCTATGATTCACAACGCTACTATTCCTTCTCTCCCGCTCCTCACGAACGAGACGCTCTTCCAGCTGCAGACTCTGGCTGACCAACATGAGTGGGGTCTTGCATACAACGAGTCCGAGCCTGTGCGTGCCATTGCCGGCTCTGTGCTTGCTGCTCAGATCCTGCAGTCTCTTAACACGACCATGACGGCATCTGTCACCAAGAAGTCGGCCCAGAAGATTGGTATCCAATTTGGTGCCTACGCCACATTCATGTCCTTCTTTGGTCTGGCCAACATGACCGCCGCGTCCGAGGACTTCAAGGGAATTGTTGACTACGCTTCTAGCATCGCCTTTGAGCTCGTCACAAACACCTCACTGGACAGCGTCACTGGTGCCATTGATCCTGCTGATGTGTCTGTGCGCTTCCTCTTCAGCAATGGCTCTGCCAGCGATGCCAACCCACCAAAGGAATTCGCCATGTTCGGCCAAAGCGAGACTCTTCTACCGTACAACACCTTCGTCAATGAGATGAACAAGTTCTCCATCGGCGACACTGCATCCTGGTGCAAGGCATGCGGCAACAGCACCGGTGTCTGTGCCTCATCCACCGACTCCGGCTCTGGCAGCACTGCCACTGGAACCACTAGCTCAGACAACAACGGCGGCGGCAGCAGTGGTGTGTCTAAGCCTGTTGCTGGTGTGATCGGAGCGCTGGTTACTCTCGTAGTGATCCTCGCCATTGAGGGATTAGTAATGGCTGTTGCTGGACTGAGACTGGTGAAGAAGAGAAGCCAGGCAGCCGCCGCGGCAAACAATGCTCCTCTTACTTCAGAGGCGAAAGACTAGGTGATTGAAGACCCAAGGAAGAGCCTTCGGCGGTTGGGGCTTGTTTGGTCATGGGAGTGAGCATTTGTAGATGACAGATGCTGCTCATAAACAGTTGAGATAATAATGACTCGACGGAGTGTATGATGCTGATGACCCGGGTTCAATAGAACTTGTCCAATAGTAGTATTACAAGGAAATGCAAATAAACTGTCTCTATTCGCCTATCGAGTGCGAGTTGGTGTGAGGTCGGATAGATACTTTGTTCAACCTTGGGTGCTCCAAGCAGTGTCCTCGGATGCTTAGAAAACATTGTCAACTATTCTGTACTTCTAATATTATTATAGAGACAGTGGGACGTTATCTAGCAATCCACGTTGCACCACCGAAAACATGTAGATGCATACATACATATTAGAGTATCGCTCGCACCCCAGGATACCCATCATTTCTCCCCTCTCCAGGTGATATATACCTTCACAGTTTTGGCTCAACCGTGCTCCTAAGACCTCAGTCTCGAGCCACCGCTGTGCAACCTAACATCCAGACTCTCGGATCGCAGCTCGTTTCACGTGGACCTGACACCGCATATACTCCTTCAAGATTGTCTACCATAGGTTGTGGATTGCCCATAACCGGCCCTTTCATATTCAATACACAAACATGTTTATAGCAAGGCCACGGCGGCGACAAGCCCACCCAGGATCTCGGCTCCGCGCATGCCCGTCTGCTGGGGCGCAAAGCCGGACGAGGAGCTGCTCGTCACGGCGGCCGTCGCGGCAGTGCCCGACCCAGAGGCCGCGGTGGTGCCCGACGCAGCCGCGGTGGTGCTGCCGGAGCCGCTGGCGGCGGTGGTGAGGGCGCCGCCGGTGCCGGTCGCGCTGGTGCCGGCCCCTGTGGTCGCGGCGGTGGCGCCGGTGGTGCAGCTGACGGCGGTGGGGACCTGGACGCCCTGGGCGGAGCAGATCTGCTGGGCGTACTCGACGGCGGCGGCCTGGTCGGCCTCGGAGCAGACGCCGACGAGGCAGCAGGCGACGGTGGACAGGAAGTTGTCGTTCTCGCAGATGCACTTTGCGTTGGTGCCGCACCCGGCGTAGCTCCCGCCGGAGATTTGCTCGGAGACGCAGGATTGCTGGAGTGGAAGAGGCAGGTTAGTATCTTTTTCACTTCTACTGTCCTAGAGGGAGAGACAGGCGGCAGATGATGTGAAGAGGCGGCGCAGTTTTCGATGCAGTCGTGGTGCCAGTGGTGGTGTGTAGACTTACAGCGCACTTGGGGATCTCGCCCGCCTGAGCTGCGGCAAGGCCGGCGAAGGCGGCGGCAACGACAATGGAGGTCTTCATGTTGGACAAGCGGTGGATAGAGATCGCGATTGGGTCACAAAGGTAATTGACTCGGCAGAAAAGCAATCGCAGGTGTTGAGGTAGACTCTTTCTAGGCGTGATAGAGAGGACGGGAAGGGAGGAAGAGAAGCTATTGGCAGCTGGGGTAATCTTTTAGTTAAATAAGACCTTGGTTGCTTGGATCAAGATAGCTTGGGGATCCATCCAACCTCCCAACCTAATAAGACGTACCTTGTTAGTGAAGAGGCAAAGCAGAAGCAATTGGATTGAATCAATGACGGGGATGGGCCAATTGCTGTCTTGGAATGGCTCGGTGCCCCCCTTTGGTAGCTTCTAGAGTAGCTTCGGCATCCCCTCTCCATCCAGACCCCCGGGCGATGCCCATGCCAGCGGGCCATGCACGCCAAGCCGCCGTGGCTTGACACTGATTGAACGGATCTCACTTGTTTCTGCTTGGGCTCGTCGTCATCTGGCTCCTGGTTGGGGAAATGGACGGCCAGGAACTAGGCAACGCATCAAGTAGGCATGCTGTTGATCTTATTTCTTCCCAACCCTAGGTCCTCTCACTCAGTCCCTTCCACAGTGAACCATCCACTCTCAGTGATTCGATGATGTCTCTTCAGGAGTGCTTCACATAAACATGTCTTCACACCCAGGACCGGGTGCAAGCTTTATAAGTGGCCGCCCGGGATCTTATAGCACAGCAATTATGGTGAGTTGACGATGCTCACCTCTGACAAATCTAACTCAATGGCATATCGTCCACAACCATCCGAAGACACCATCGAGCGGAGGGAATTCATATCTCACACATCCTTTTCTGTTCACAGATCCTAATCATATCCTACCAATGCATATCTCTCCCGGGTACGCCGTCTCGATATACGGACAGAGCTCTCAACGGAGTTTTCATCTCTTTGCAAGTGTTTGTCAGTGAGTGTGACTCGTGTGAATAACTTCCCGTTTGGGTAGGTAGTGACAGATGTTGAAGAGTGACATGCTTAGTTTTCATAGGATGCAAACAGTGTGGTGAAATATTGGTGTCACGGGTGCAACTCTGGACGATCTTGTGCCAAATTGAGCCGAAGAGTTGCACGGCATTTCCCCGGCCACAAGCATTTTCAGTCTTGAGGAACCTGAGCATCATCGTTGGGGTTGATCTTACGGCATCGGCGGTTCTATGGTTCGATTTGGGCAGAACTGTTCCTGCGTCTTCTTCTGTGTCATGGCTGTGCAAGGATCGTTGCTCCAGGACACTATCGGTCTGCACATTCGAGAAGACTTCTACGAGACTTCTCGTAACAATTTAGAGTAGACGCCAGGCCTGATTAAACGACACCGTTCCCGGCCTGTCAAAGCCTACGGGCTACCTTAGTGACATTAACGTTTTCTGTTATGAATCAATGGGTGGATAGCTGGAACGCTCGCTGGAGACCGCGCAATTAGAGACCCGCCCAACCACGGCATCGCATCGGCAGGTTGATCATTGCTGCAAAAAACCACGAGCTTAATTGCGGGGAAGAGAAATTAAGCCCTTTAGGAGAGCTGCCAGTCTGCCAATCCCTGGGGCGGTGAGGCGTCCGATGTGACGATTCCCCACTGAAGACCTGAAGAGTCTTGCTGAGTCCTGCTGGGCCGTCTTGAGGGATCGTAACATGCTCGAGCAAGTTTCTGTAGTTGACGAGCAAATCTCTATAGTTGAGCCTTGCAACTATCACGGCACGGTACTACGCAGTAAGTTCATGCCTCGTCAGCTGGACCCAGAGTTATGGGCGGCCCAGCCGTGAGACAAAGTCAAAAACAGCCAAACAACAGCCCTATCAGGGCCACTAGAGTCCACAGAGACCCATCTGCTGCAGGGAACCTGGGACCAACGGGTTCACGGGCTGCTCCGGGCTGCGGAGCGATGGCAACGCTACAGGCAGTGCAGGCAGTGCAGGCACAGAAGTCCCTGGTTGGGGGAGGAAGGGTGCCATCCATTCTGGGGGATCAGCGCGCGATTCGTCCGTGATGCAGCCATTCAGAACTGTCCACCCATCCCATTCTGGGCTCAGGCTTCCCGAACTCTACCCTCCTTTCTCGTACTCGTATAAACAGCTCAGTCCTGGATTGCATCGTTCGGCGACGCTGGAGGAGCATTTGACTTTCTCTCGCTGCATCATCATCGTCCATCAATCAACCAACGGATCCCCTTCTTCGTAGAGCTAGACTTGCTTGAAGTGCGGCCAGCAATGCTGTCGATGTGATTGTCTTGGCCCTCCTCCTCGACTGCCACCACGCTTAGAGCTCTGCTCTGAATATCCATCACCCGCAGCAATCATGGGTCTGGGCGTGCTGGAGGACAAGCATATGTCCCACGTCCCAGGGACTACTCGATATTTCGACGACCCGGAACGACCGCAATTCGCGCCTCAAGATGGCCGGGCTGGGCTGAAGTGTGATACAAGCGGACCGGTGCCCATCATTCTGGTATGTTGAGTCGCGAGATCTACTCCGTCTCCAGTCTCTTCCTATGACTTACACCAGAGTCTTGATTAATACGAACACAACTAACTTTGAACTGTTTCAGGTCCCTCAACCGTCCGACGATCCCAACGATCCTCTCAACTGGCCGCTATGGAAGCGCGATCTCATCACCTTTATCCTCTCCATCACTGCCATCTTCGCGACAAGTCTCGGCCCCATCCTCGCCGCCAACACCATCACCCTCTCGCTGTGGATGTCCAGGGACATCACAGCGGTTGCCCTGCTGACTGGATACTTCTTGCTGGGCGTCGGCGTCGCAGGCTTCTTCTTCGTCCCGTCGAGCCGCATATGGGGCAAGCGGCATCTGTTCATCCTGGGCATCTGCATCCTCATCGCCAGCAGCGCGTGGGGTGGTGCCGTGGGCAAGAACTACAAGAGCTTCCTATGGTCTCGCATCATCCAGGGTGTCGGGTGCGCGCCCTTCGAGGCCTTGGTGAATGCGGCAGTCGGTGATTTGTACTTTGTTCATGTAAGCCCCTCCGTATGTTTTCCAGCTTTGAGTTATAGGCTTATACAGTATCGTTCAGGAACGTGGCAAGCGCATGGCCTTTACCAATCTCGCCGTCTTTGGCGGTGCCTTCTTCACGCCCATCGTTGTCGGCAAGATTACTCATACCATCATGTGGTGGTGGACCTTCAACCTGGTCGCCATCTTCTGCGCCGTCTGCCTTCCTCTCGTCATCTTCTTCTGCCCGGAGACGGCCTACCGCCGCGACGCGAGCCTCAACACGGACATGCTGGGCGACGACAACGAGGTCGCACCGCCTAGCTACGCTGATGCCGTACCACAGATGACAGAGCAGCACAACGGGGCTGTCCCTGAGAGCTCCACCGCAGCTGCAGGCCCTAGTACCGAGGGCAGCAGTGATGGGACTCGCGATGCCAGCAACGATGCTGAGAAGGCAATCGAAACGCCCGCTGCCAACGGTAGCGCTAATCGTACTATTCCGGAGAAGACTACCTGGAGGCAGTCTCTTGCTCTCTTCAACGGCCGCAAGTCCGACGAGGCCTTCTGGAAACTACTCCTCCGTCCCCTCCCTCTCTTCCTCCAGCCCGCCTTCCTCTGGGCCGCCCTGGTCCAAGGTACGCTCATCGGGTGGACCGTCTTCATCGGCGTGCTGCTCGGCATGTTCTTCCTGGGCTACCCGCTGTGGTGGAACGAGGTGAACACGGGGTACGCGTACACGGGGGCGTTCATCGGGGCGCTGGGCGGGTTCGTCATCGCGGGCGGGCTGGCCGACTGGAGCGCCAAGGTCATGACGCGCTGGAACGGCGGCATCTACGAGCCCGAGTTCCGCATCGTGCTCGTGGTCCCGCAGCTCGTCTTCGGCTGCATGGGCGTCTACGGCTTCGGCATCACCGCCGACGGCCTGCTGCGCGACAAGTTCCACTGGTCCGTGCCCATCATGTTCTTCGGCTTCGAGGTCTGCGGCATGGTCATTGGCGCCGTGGCGAGCAGTCTGTACATTGTCGATGCGTATCGTAAGTGGCTTTTCGTCCCCACGTTACCCCCCTTCCTAAAAGGAGAAGCGTTCATTTGGGAGGCCCAGTTGATGACTGACGGTGACAAACGATAGGTGACCTCGCCATCGAGGGCTTCACGTGCCTGATCATCTTCAAGAACTTCTTCAGCTTCGGCCTCACCTTCAAGGCGTACGACTGGTTCCTCGAGAACGACACCCGCGGCACGCCCGTCTTCAACGCGCTGGGCTCCGTCCAGGTCGTCGTCTGTCTGCTGAGCATTCCCATGTGTAAGTGGCCCTGGCCCCCGCCCG